CCGAGATCCTGTATTATGCTCTTTTGTGTTAATTCCTTCTGAATAATGTGTAGATTTCATTTCTATATCTGGGAGACTGTTTGATTCAGTATCCGCTCCATCACTTTTAATAGTCATTGCCCATGCGGAATGTGGGGGTTCATTTACATCACCTTCCAGTTCCATACTCTTTGTAATGACATGCTTTGTTCTGGGAATTTCATTCTCAATTTTCTGTACCCGAGAATTTCCATCTGCTTTAGAATCGTTGTGTGTTCCTTCACTTTGTGAATCATTTCCTGTGTTGAGGTCTCTAGTTTCAGTGGTATCACTGGTAGCTGCAGAATTAACTCTTTCTTCAAGTGTGGCTGATGCACTTTTAGTCACCTTTTGAGGGAGATCTTGTGATGAAGATATGTTGTGAATCATTTCCTTCATTGAACTACTTGTTGGATGGGATGAACTTGGATATATTTTCATCTTTGGAATATTTCGTTTAATTTGAGTTTTCTATTTCTTCTTTTCCTTCTATTCTTTGTTACAACTATAGTTGAATATCCAAATTGTTCTGCCATATTTGAGGAAGACAATAATGTTGATTCACCTTCATCGATATTTTGTTTTGATTCATGTGACCTATTTGATCTTCCACTATGTATCTGTGTTGTTGCCACAGCTCCAAGTATAGACTCGTCATCATTATCACCAGTACTACTTGATGAAGATGCAGTAGGGTGTTTTACATGACCTGTTACACTATAATTGCTTTGTTTCTCGTGTATTTGTAAATCATGGTCTTTATCTCCTCCAGACCATGAATCTGATTGTTCACATCTCCAGAGATTTACTCCTATTTCTGTTGATTTTGCTTCGTTTGTTGATTCTTTACGAGCACCTGGGTCAGATCTTTCCAACTGTTGTGTGGACATAATATCTACATCTGTTGAATCGATGCTTTCAGTATTTATGGTTTTTTCCATACATGTAGAATGTATGGTTTTATTTCCATCACCTTTCATGTCCAAAGTTTCAATAATATAAGATTTTTCTTTGTGTGCTTCTCTAACTCTCTGTGTATTGTCTTCTCTATTTTCAGTTCCAAGTAAATTGTCACTGTAATTATTACTGTTCATACTTTTTAAAGATGTTGTGCCATGTTGACCACAGTTAGTAATGTTTCCCAGTGTATGTGCATGAGAATCGCATTCTCCTGAAGAAATATTGATTTCTGAAATTATCTCCTGGAAGTCGTTTCTTTTCTTCTCATTGTTTCGATGGATGTTAGAAATTGATGAAATCAATACTTTTCTAGTACTATCACTGCCATGTGTACTCACTTCCTGTGGTGTTTTTGTGATCTTATTGTGAATACTATTTTCCCCTGATCTATCTTTTGTGGTATCAATGGTGACTGTGCTACCTTTGCTATATCTAAGTCTGTTTGATGTACCTGTAACAAGTGGGTCGTTCTCAGATGAGATGTGTGGCACACTGTCACTTGATAAATTTACCTGTGCATTTTGCATGTCGCTTCTACTATGGATAACTTCATATGATTTATCAATTGCTGTTGATGCTAGTTGTTTGTCCCCGTTTTTAGAGAAGTAATTGGATTGGATCTCCCAACTTTGTTCTACTGCTTCAAGCAAACAATTGTTTTCATTACCGATGATTTCGTCTGATTCTCTTTTCATGTGTTTTCTGGCATATAACACACCACCAATTACTGCAGCAGTTAGGATTGCACTGCTAACTGAAGATATCAATGACGTTTCGAGTAAAGGGCATCTGATAATGAGATAAAAGAAAAACGGTTGTCATCATCATTCATTCATATACAGTCTGGGTTATATGTAGTCTCAGTGTACGTACCGTCTCCATCACGTTTTCCATTGTAAATTTACAGGGGACCCCTTGTAAGATATGATACTATGGTAGCCTGTAAAGTGTTTAACAGACATTGCTTCAACATTTTCACAATAATAAAACTGGGCATTTACCCTACATCTTACAACAAAAGAGAACGTTTTATTAAATAATATCTATGGTGAATATTATATAAACCATTTAACATAAGCAGCTAAACTGAAGTGAGATACTTCTTAATGAATTGACATACATTTGCTAGGATGACATTAATGTGTTTCAGTAGAAATGTGGTCAAATATTATCATTGAATTACTCTTTCTGTCTATTAATCATTTGTAGTTTGCTTACTTACACTTTTGGATCATTTGATAGTGATTGTTTATTTTCGGGATCGCCTGTTTGTGTAACTGCTGTCGTTGTTTCAGTTTTCTTTTTGGGACAGCACTTGTTTTCGTCACAGCAGTACTCATGATCTTTGTCACACCTGTGAATTAATATAGACAGAATTCTTGTATCTGTTAATACTATTTGCGAACATGTAAACACATAATAATCGATGCAAAACTCACGGCTATGGTGTATGCGCCTCGCCATCGTGGGCAGTCATGCCGCTATTTGCGCTGTAGCGAACTGTTTACAAATAATCAAATTGACCAAGAGGTTAAATGTGCAACTGAAATCTCTGACGTCACAATCAACATGCAGAATGTATGTCTAAACACATATAAATAAATATAAATTCAAATATGGTAGAAACAGTGAAAAACCTAATATTTCGATATCCTTTACACGTAATTCTGCATAGAAAGTATTTTCTACTTTCTAACTCAGTTTATTCAAAACAGACCTTTTGATTTTTAAGTTCGAGTGTAAAGATCGCCATGATGACTTCAGAAAAAAGTACATAATAAGAACCGAGGACAATATGTTTTGTCAGAAGAGCTGTGTACTGGTAGTTTATGACGAGCCTCGTCTTCGAAAGTAAACTGTATGGCAGTCAAGTCCCCCTAGTATTATGACGACTTACGAACTGAACTCACCTAATTTTAGGACATGGGTAAAAGCAACATTTGTTTTCGCCACAACAGTATTCCCGTTTCTTGCACCTGTACATTAATACAATTTTAAATGGTGAAACTATTTACCAAAAATAAACAGAACAGAGCAAGTTATCTTTCAGGTACAGTAACAGATGGATACTACTAAAGTTAAACGTATATAAGGGCAATGTTTATGGAAAATATAAAGTTTAATGCGAATTGTTTATACTAGAGCATCTTAATAAAGGGCGCTATACTTACAAATCACGACTGCATATGTAGCGACAGCATCTATTCTCTCCACAACAGTATTGACCAAGTATGCAACTTTAAAAAAAACAGAGATATAACGCATTTTGTAGCACTATATACAGGAGTGAGTTTCAATGTTGTCATATATATCAACAAAAAGATTTTCCTCCATGAACAAATATGGTGACGTTTTAAGCAGGCTGCAGTTTACACCACTACAAGCATTGTGAATATACAAGCCAGTCAAATGTGAATGAAAAATAGGTTTTTAAATGACATATTATGTTTATTTGATGTGTGTACTTATGTGAACCAGAATATAATTATCAACCAGCCTAATATTGAAAACGTACTTTTCCATTGCATCAATGCGGATTTGTGTTATATGTGATACTTGGTTCAAATTACACACTGCATCTGTTTTGACTTAACTTACTTTTATTTTAAGCGGTGATTGAAATGAATTCGGTATTTTAAGGGGATTCATCTTAAAAATCCAGAATTGGTAAATATATATCATTTACAATAAACAAAATAAGTGTATTTAACTAAAGACTGGATTTAAAATGTAGACGGCATGGCATATGTAAAACTTAATGTCACGGTGCAACTACGGGTCAGAAACGTATTGCCCTGTAAAATATTATAGTATTGCGATTGGTAATAATTCTAGATCACAACTATACACGCCAAGGACACGACGTTAAAAGGTAACGAGTTTCATTCAACCAATTTCATGAATATTCACTGAGAAATCTTCAGAATCACCCAGCATCGTAATTTGTTCGAAATACTGTGATGCAATGCTTATATACCCGTGTGATACGGTATGTATGTAAAAGTCGTACTAGTGATGTTTTGTTCTCGTTTTATTTGGTCACTTGTTTCTAAATGTATAAGGGTTAACATATTGAAAACACTTAGTTTACTCGAATGTTATATGTCATGGACAATGGCTCTTCGATGGCATACACTAGCCAATCTACGACCAAACGTCTGTACAGTGTGTTTATGACAGAAACAGAGTACATACTAAAGTCCGACAAGTACGACACCGTGACTTCAACATTCATTCAAGTGGGACTTTTTTCATATATCAGTGTTTTCGGTTTATTCGAAATTTCACCCCAATCCATTTTCGTTTATCAAATAAACTAAAATCAGAGCGGGAATTGTTGTCATCAAGTGTCGACATTAGAATAGAATAGAATAGAATAGAATAGAATAGAATAGAATAGAATAGAATAGAATAGAATAGAATAGAATAGAATAGAATAGAATAGAATAGAATAGATTTATTCCACCAGAAAAAAGAGACAATTGTACAGGGAACTTTATCTGAATGAATAATAATAATATATATATTATTCCTGGTGGGGACCAGAGAGGTAGTTCTAGCAGAACTAATCTAGTCCCTGGCCCCAAAACCATACTCAACTGTTAAAATAT